TGCGGAGGTGGAGGAGGAAGAGGGATTACGAGGAGGGAAGTCGGACGCGGAGGAAGAGGAGAAGAATTATTGGATCATCGCCTTAGTTGGAGTAGTGGATGTGAGGAGTTGTGACAGCATGTGCCTCGAATAGCCATCCTTCTTGCGCTTGCTCTGCGCTGTCAGCTGCAGAAGACAGGACAGCCACGTGTCCGCAGGGAGGGAGTCTCGGCAGGTCCCCAGGGAGGGTCCCGAGCGCAACTCTCGAGATCAGGGGGTTGCGGGGGGAATGGCTTGGACATGTTTGCGATCGAACATTTGGTCGCGGCTTCGAGCCATCGTCTGGCTGTGTTGGGACTTCTTGAGACCCTCTTGGGCCCTCTTGGGGATGTTTGAGGATCTCTTGGGGATCCTGGGCACTCTTTGCTCTGGAGGCCATCTTGGCGTCCTTGTCGGATCTTTGTGCTGTCGTGGAGTTTCTTGGGGCCGCGTGGGCGATTGTTGGGCCGCCTTGGCGTCGGTATCGAGCCATCTTGGAGTCGTGTTGAGGTCGTCTTGAGTGCCAGCCAGGCGCTTTAGGGGCCATCTTGAGCAGTGCGGGGGTCTGCCTTCCTTTTTTCTTTTACGAACATAAAAGTAAATATTGTTGGAATGCGGTCGGACCGAGGTATAAGATCGAGGTCGGTTTGGAGAGGGTACCCTTGTTGTCCGTGCATTGGATGTTCTTGTGCATCATGGGGAAGGGACCCTCCAATGCTCTTCAGTTTGGCCGGCGGAGGGTCTCATGCTGTTGAAGAATGTTATTCTCGGGCCGGACGAAAGGGGGGGGGTGGGAAAGGGGGGGTTACGAAATTTGCTACATGCAGCTGGTTTCGGCCTCACCGAGGGGCCCATTCCTCGATACATGGCCGCCTCCGGCGCCGGGAGGCGCCGGGAAAATCAGCTACGTGAGCTGATTCTCAACCCCCCCCTTTGCTATCCCCCCCTTTCGCCCGACCCGATATTCGGTCTTAGGCCTGGCCGTATCGCTTCCTTAGCTCCCTTGGCAACGTCCGGCGGGGCTCTACCACGTACCGTTTGTCAGCAGTTAGCAATCAATATGCTCGTCGATTGGGTCGTCTTGGGTCCATCCGAAGTGGTGCTCCCGTTGCAGCGTTGGCCACGCTGCACGATCTGCGCTCGGCTCCCGTCGTTCAAAGCGGCGCTCTCGCTCCAGCGCGGGACACGTTTCCGGATTCGATGCCTTCCGCGCTGCTGCTGCCTCCCTGCCTTCCCCTCCTCCGCCCTCCCTCGTGCTCCTCGTCTTGCTCCTCCTGCTCTCGCTACTTATACTTCTCCTCCTTTGCCCTCCTCCTCCTCCTCCTGCCCTCCTCCTCCTCCTCCTGCCCTCCTCCTCCTCCTGCTTCCTCCTGCTTGTCCTCCTCCTCGTGTGCTCAGTCCTGCCGGATGCCGGCCGGGAGCCACGGGGGCCATTGGAGGCTCGGTCCCGGCCTGTGCGTGTCACCCCTCCGTCCACGTGATGTGTCCCCGCTTAGGTTGCCCGCGCCATGTTCGGCGGCTACAGTTTGCGATCCACGGTCAAGAACTTCTGCTTACAGTCGGGGGAGCGTAAGACCCGGGTTTGCCAGGACTCGGGTTCGCCATCGTTTTTTGACGACCGCGCCGCGGATTTTGGCGAGGAGGAGTTTCGTGGGATGTCTGCAGCCGGGAGGCCTCGTCAAAATGCAGGCTCGGCCTCGTCATTTTTTTGACGACTTCGTCGGGGATTTTCGAGTCCCCTGTACCCAGGTCTTACGTCCCCCTGATACAGTCGGGGCCCTGAAGAAGGAACCCTTTTCGTTGGGGAGGGGCTCCGCGTTCCCTGAGTGTTTCGCAGCTTGCCTCGGGTGTCCCTCTGGTGTTCGATGGGCGATCGAAGTTGCACTTATGAAAAAAAAGGGGCCTCTTCCTTGTCTGGGGTTCCTTAGGTCAACGCCCCGACTGTAGCGTGTCGTGCCGCCGGATCTGGCCCACCGCAGTCTCGCGGCCCGCGGAGCGGAGCGGCACGCTGTCCTGGTTCTGGGCGCAGCGTGTCGCCAGGGCCGCCGCCGCGGCACCCGAAGCAGAGGGCCATGACCGCAGCATCTCCCCCGATCTTCGGCGGTGGATAGACCTCCTTCCCTGACACGTCGATTAGTGAATTGGCCGTTTTCGGTTCGCGAGGGGGCGGCGCGGTCGTCATCATTGCGGGTCCAGGTCCATCGGTTTCGGTCACAGGCCGTTTTCACTGAGGGGAGGTTTACTAAAGGGAGGTTTGTCCACCGCCGATTTACATTCGATTGAGCAACAAAACCCTTCCACTGACATTTTGGGACGGGGTGGGAGGCTGGGGTAGGATGCCAGATGTCGCGCGAGGGTCGGGTGGGACGAAAAAGGGCTACTGGGACAGGGGAGGGCCGAAACCTACTGCATGCAGCTGGTTTCACCTGAACCTCGGCGGCGAACGCGAGGGGGAAGTGAGAAGTAGACGGCCTTCTCAGAAGGCGGCGGGACTTCTCAGAAGTCCTCGCGCCTTTGAGAGGTTTTTAAAATCTCAGAAGGCTGGGGGACTAGGAAACGTATCAGAAGGCTGGGGCTCAGAAGTCTATTTAAGTCTTCGGGGAAGATTTAAGAAACTTATCAGAAGGCTGTGGGATTTCCGAGCCTTCTGAGAAGGTTCGCCCCTTCTCACGTCACCCCCTCCCTCGCCGCCGAGAAACCGTGGGGCCCCTTCCTCGATGGCAGCTTCGCTCTTGGCCCTGGGAGACACCAGCAAGACCAGCTGCACGCATCTGGTTCGTGAGCTAGCCCCTCGGCTACTTCCGCGCCCTCGTCGCCCGACCAAGCTCTATCTCTCTCCTCCCCCTCCCGCCTCTCCTTGGGCCGGCCACTCGCAGAGGGGGAAAGGGTGCTGAAAGGCTCGCGACGGGAGGGCTTTTGCTATTTTCGGCTTCTGGGGGCCCTTCTCGGGCCTCGGGACCGTCGAAAAATGGGTAAGGATGAACAACCGGTCGCGGGGAAGGGGTCCAGACCTTTCGGAGTCAAGGTTGCGCAAGAATCACGACGTCGGTGGCTGGCTTTGGCGGCGCGCAGAGCGGGGCAGGGGGAGGGGGAAAGGCTTCTTAGAAGCACCCCTGGTTCTTAGAAGGCGCAGGCCTTGTCTGTAGATGTAAGGCTGGCGCCTTCTGAGAACCAGCCTCCTTCTGAGAAGCCTTCCCTCCTCCCCCTACCACCTTGTGCGCGCCGCCAACTTCCCTCCTTCGGGCGGGGCTAGGGCGAGCATACCTCGTTCCAGAGTGCTCCCGAACGCTCTCGGAAGGCCGCGGCGCCCGAGACATTTTCTAGAACCGACGGATTTCAGAGATTCTCGATTTATCATCACCCGATGTCGTTCTCGTCCTGGTTTCGTCTTACCTCGTACGCCCTCCTCCATTTCCTCCTCCTCCTCCTCCTCCTCCTCCTCTTCCTCTTCCTCCTTCTTCCTCCTCCTCCTCCTCCCTCCTCCTCTCCCTCCTCCTCCTCCCTCACTCCTTGTCCTGTTCTTACTCCTCCTCCTCCTCCTGCTGCTCCTCCTCCTCCTCCTCCTCCTCCTCCTCCTCCTCCTCCTCCTCCTCCTCCTCCTCCCCCTCTGGCCCACCCCGCCTCGGGCGCGTTTTGCTTGCGCGGGGTGCCGAGACCAGGGGCACCCACTCACGGGCGGGAGCACGCGGGTTTAAAACTCCTCCTCCTCCCCCTCCTTCCCCTCTTTGCTCGCCAGCAACGTCCGCAGCGCAGCGGCCGGGTCGACGGGTCACAGCCGACCTCTGCGCCTGGAGGAGCCGGCCGGGCAGGGCGTGACGGGCCCGAGTGGCTCCGACGCCAGAGAGCCTCACCCTCGTGCGGAGAGCCACGAAGGGCCAGCAGGCGCCAGGAGATTTGGACGCGCCTGCACGCGTTCCTTTTTTTTCCCCCTTTCGAGTAGGGGATCGACGGATTGACCGCAGAGTTGATGTATCCCCAGGTTTGTCCCCGACGGATCTACGGAACATGCGTCGGATTGCTCTGTAGATCTATTGAGCAGCCTGTATTTTTCTGTGGGTTCGACGGGGAAGTCAATTTGGGGCAAATCAATGTTGTAGTCGATCCCCTACTCTTCCCTTACTCGCCCCCCGCCTCAGTCATCCCTCCCCCTTGTCTGCGGCTGTCCCTGCGGCCGTTGCTGATGTTCCTGCTGATGCACGTTGTTTCTTGGCTGGCGTGTGCAGTCGACACTGCTGCTGAGCCTCTTGCTGGTGCTGACGGCGGACGGCCAGTGTAATCGCGTACGTTTGGGTGGATGATGTTTGTGTTGTTGGGCGGTGACGACGACGTTGCCCATGTGCTCGGTGATGGTGACTGTTGACCTGTGCTGGATGAAGCTGCTCAGTACGATGGCCATGTCTACGGAATGACCCGCCGCCGCGAGCGTCCCAGAAGATTTGGGAAGTATTCTTAGACGACACGCGTTGAACCGTTGCCGCAGGTAGGAGGTTACACATGACACCAGATAAGGCCCACAAAATACCCGATAACGAGACATGCCACAGCGGAATGCTCCATACGATAGTAGTTGAACACGTGAGTGCGTCGGAAATGATTCTGCGAGCCCAGCGGCGAAGGCCGCACGTTCCAGTAAACAACTGCACGGGGTACGGCACAGGCAGGCCACGTGGGCATCCAGCCGATGGCACGCGGCCTAGCTGCGCATCGCCGCTGGAGAGGCGGGTGAACCCCAAAAGAGTTGCCCGTCGGTCGTTGAAAGCAGGTGTCTTGGGATTCCCAGGTTCCCATCTAGCTTCAGCGACTTCCTACCTCGGTGATCCAGCGGATTCACGTCTTCCGTGCTCCTCAGGGGGCGGACGGAACCCAACCTACTTTCAACACCTTCCTGCTTCATGCTTCTACCTACGTCTTCCGACCGATGGGTATCGCTGCGTACACGTCGTTCCTCCTCCCCTCCTCGCTCCGAGCATCCGCTCCGGGAGGAGGCGGCGGCGGCCCCGGAGGACGAGGCTGCCGCCGAGCCGGAGGCGGGCCCCGCTCCCGCGCGGCCGCGCGACGCGAGGCGCTCCGGAAAGGGCCGTGCCTTCAGGGACGGAGCAGAGGAGGAGGAGGGGGAGGAGGAGGAGGAGGAGGAGGAGGAGGCAGGAGGAGGAGGAGGAGGAGGAGGAGGAGGAGGGGAGGAGGAGGAGGAGGAGGAGGAGGCGAGGAGGAGGAGGAGGAGGAGTCGCCATCTCTTCCGCGGCGGAAAGGACGGGAAGGGCGGCGGAGGCAGACCGAGGCCGCCTCCGCCATGGCGGAGGCCGGCGGCAGCTCGGCGGATGGGCGGCGGGTGCACTTCCTTTCCTCTCCCCTCCTCCTCCCCCCTCCCCCCCCCTCCTCCCCCTCCTCCCCCCTCCCTCCTCCCCCTCTCCTCCTCCCCCTCCCCCCTCCCTCCTCCTTCCTCCTCCTCCTCCTCCTCCTCCTCCTCCCTCCTCCTCCTCCTCCTTTCCTCCTCCCCCTCTCCTCCCCCCTCTCCTCCTCCTCCTCCTCCTCCTCCTCCTCCTCCTCCTCCTCCTACGCGTGTTCGGGTCCAGGGTCTCCCGAGGCAGCTCACAGCGTTCTGCGATCGGGGCGCTGCATTCCGTCTCTGGCCCTCGGCATGCCTGCCCGGCTTCTGGCCCCGCGGGCCCTTCGCCTGCACTCGGCGGCTCGAACTTCCAGGTTCGAACTGCGAGGTCCGAGGTCTTCGGGCGTGTGTGCGGCGGCTCTCCGTGTTTTGTTCGAGCCTCCGGGTGCTTGCCAGCAGCTTCGCCTCGCCGCGGGCGTTTTGGGGGGGTGCCGGGATCGTCCCGAATTCCGAAGGGCCACTAAAGATTTGAGTGATGACCCAAAAACCAAATTCGGCCGCGCGCCCGCAGGGAAGTGAGAAGGAGTTTGCCTGCTCAGAAGGCGGCGGGACTTCTCGGAAGCCCTCGCGCCTTCTGAGAGGCTTTCTGTGCCTTCGGGGCAAGCTTCGAAAGCTTTTCAGGATGCCAGGCGACTTCCGAGCCTTCCGAGAAGGTCCGCCCCTTCTCCCTTCCCCCTCGCTCGCCGCCGCTACACGCAAGAGGGGCAGTTCGCCAGAGAAAAACCTCTGACGCGCGGCTTTTGAAGGGCGCGGGGAGGGGGGCGACCCAAACTCAGAGCCCCGAATCATCAGGGGTAACTCGGGTCAGGGATAACTCGGGTTCGGTTTTCGGGAATCCAAACCCGAGTTACCCCGGACCCGAGTTACCCCGGATAACTCGGGCGACCAACAAACCCAAGTGCGCCAGCCGCTGCTGCCGCCGGGGATCGCTGCCCAGCTCGAGGGGCCGCAGCGAGATGGAGTGGATCGGAGGACGGCCATGGTGAGACAGCGGTGTCCCTCCCGCCCAGCCCTAATCCGCTCAAAATGGGGCCTCCCTCGCACATCGGGAGCGGAAAAGAGGGGGGTGATGACTAGGGGGGGGTGGATTTCATGGCGCGGGTCATGATTTTTCCTCAGATTTCATGGCGCTTCTTCCTATTTCATTACGTCCCTGGCCCCCCCGCTGGGCCGCGCACATGCCGCCGGTCATGATTTGCACCCCCCCTCTTGGACACCCCCCTCTTGGCCGCTCCCGAGCACAGTTCACCCTGACCCGCTTTCCGTGGCGGATCCAGCCGTGTTGGCGAGGAGCCTTTTAATCATCGTGGATCAAGACAGCCTCGCTGAGGCCCCCCCATCTTTGCACCAGGGATGATACTTCTGTGCGGTTTGGTTGGATGCATCTGCAGAACAGACCCCCTTATCCCCAATATGTCTGGCCCTCCTCACTTAGGTCCCCTCCCAAAGGGTTATGGGTCCCTTTCTTTGGCTGATCGCGCTAGGAGGCCCGAAAGTCAACCACATACGAGAAGCGCCAGGGAGGCCCGCGGTTGTCTCGCCTTGTCCTTCTCTGAGTCGAGGGCTCCGGTCAAGATGTTTCACGATGTCGTGATGCATTCGCGACGAAGGATCTCGGGGCCCGACCGAAGGGAAGAGAGGAGGTGCAGGGGGAGGGGGGAGGTGTGGCATTTACAGTGCCGCTCTCGTGGATGTCACATACTCCGACGTCATCGCGTCGAAAGACATGTATGACGGTACAGGGGAGGCCCATGCCAAGAAACACCCTGCTTGCCTCCAGGGTGCCCAGGTTTTCTTGGGTCTCGACGGTTTTGCTATGGAAAGGGTGACGTTCCCACGCCAAAAAATCAATGGATGTCCTGGAGTCTCAGGGTTGGGTTTCTTGTGGAAGGTTTTTGGTGGACTGGCCTCCACTGCACGTGTGTGTGTGTGTGCTATTTCTCTGTTTCTCTGTGTCATTGCCGGGCCCCGGGGCCGCCCGAACATCATTCCGGGTGCAAGCTTTGCCCCCTGGACGTGGTCCAGACCTCCTGGGGTCAATGTTGCAAAAAAACAGGATTGCAAAAAAAACCTAAGGATTGCAAAAAAAACAGGATTGCAAAACAAATACCGAAGGATTGCAAAAAAACCCTAGGACGAAGGATTGCCAAAACACCATAGAACGAAAGGTTTTTTTGCAATCCTGGGTTTTTGTTGCAATCCTTCGAAACAATCGCGGCGTCGGAACGAATAGGCGAAAGTTTCTGGGCAGTTTCGGTGGGTGGCTGGCTTCGTGAGTTTCTGGGTCCGGGTTCGGGGCCAGCGGCTGGGTTCCCAGGTTCGCGCTGCACGGTCCCGCGGTTCTCGAAGACAAACAGGGAGGTATTCCATGTCAGCGGTTAGAAGCCAGAGAGTCGAGTACATATAGACACACCTTTTATGACGTGGTGCCCAACGGCCCATCCTGCCACCGTGCCTGGGTGGTAGGTGGCGCCGTCCATTTTCTTCGTGTCACAGGGCCTCGGGATTGGAGCGGCGGTCTTGGCCAACACGGGGTCACATAATTAGCTCCATTGGGCCACGGAGCCAACACGGGGTCACACCAGCCCCGATGGGCTCCCGAGGGCTCCCCCCCCGAGGGCTCCCGAGAGGGGTCACACAACATGACCGCCAATACGGGTGTGCGTGGCCGCCGCAAGTTGCCAGCGCTACGCCATGGACTCGGCCAGGTCAGAGGCCTGAGGGATGCCTGTGGGGATCTCTTTGGAGGCCTCTCGGAAGCCTCTTGGATTCGGTTTTGGGTTGTCTTTTCGGGGGCCTCTTGGGGGCCTCGCGGGGCCTGATTTGGGCCTCTTGGGGGCCTCCTGGAGCTTTTTGGGTGGCCTCTTGGGGCCTGCTGGCGGTCTCGGGGACCATGTTGGGGCGAAGGGCTCCACATGTCGGCTTGTGCTCTCCCTCTGAGGCCTTTCCAGGGCCTCCGTTGGAGCCTTTCGGGCTGTCTTGGGGCTATCTTGGGCCGTCTTGGGGCCATCGTTGGCCGTCGATCTTGGGGGCCTCTTGGGCGCTCTTGGAGCGTCGAACGCCCGAAAAGGAGGGTGCATCAAAACCAGGTCAGAACCAACGGAAAGCCATCATTTGGGCATCTCGGGGCTGTCTTGGGGGAATCCTGGACCTTCCTGGGAGCATCTTGGGGCTCTGTTGGGGGCCATCCTGTCCGGTCATAGGGGCCTCTTCGGGCTCTGTTGGGGGCATCCTGGACCTTCCTGGGAGCCTCTTGGGGCTCTATTGGGGGCCATCCTGTCCGGTCATGGGGGCCAGCCTGTCCTGTCCGGTCATAGGGGCCATCCTGTCCGGTCATGGGGGCCCTGTCCGGTCATAGGGGCACGCGGGGAAGCCAGGGAAACCGAGACGTGATGATCATGGTAGCGATGCTGGTGACGATGATGACAAAGACGACGGCAAGGCCAGTGACGGCGCCGATGCTGCTCACGCCGAACACGATGACAGCGCCTACACATCGGTGATAAAGGTTTTGGAGGGAATTCGACATGTGCGCGCGGCCGGCGCGCGAGACTGGCCCGCATGGTATTACTTGACACGACCCACGTGCGCAAGGCGTTCGAATGATTTCGAAGTGCGGCGCGAGGGGCCCGTTCGGCCGAATCTGATGAACAAGTTGAAAACTCGTATAGTTTTTTTGTAAAGGATTCACATGAGTGCGAGCGCAGGCATTTTTGATTTGATGTTGCAAAACCATGTGTTTGTTATCTGTGTTCGGGATACTCGATTTCGAAATCCATACGAAACCTAAGGCTTTTGACGGATTTCGGCATGCGCACGCGACGACGCGCGCGCGTGCACTTCGTCCCACCTCTTGCAAAGGATTCTTATGTCAATTCGGGCGCAAGGGCGTCCGAGCGATTTCGACATGCGCGCGCGAGAGGCAGGTTTGGTAACAATTCACGAAAGTCTTGTTTGTCTTGAGAGCTCGCAAGACCCCGAGCGCAAACATGATTTGAACATTCTTGTTACGACACCATGTGTTTTTATCCTTGTTCGGGGCATGCGCGCGCGACGGCGCGCGCAAGTGCACTTCGTCCAGTTGTTTTCCAAAAGGAATTCTTGAACATCGACGATTGGGGATCAACGGGTGCGCGCGCATAACTGTTTGCAGGTGACGGGGGGTACCGGTACTGGCCTGCCTGGAATGGTACGAGCTCATATGTCGGGTCGGCGATGGGGCACACCCGTATGCAATGTGCAATGCGAAAAATGGAGGCCGTTCATTCCGAGGGGGGTAGACATTTCATATTATCGTGGCGCTAAGTGTGTGGTGCGTTTTATGTTGTGCGACCGATGGTGTGCACTGAATGTGGTGCGGTCCACGTTGTGCAACCTATTTGGGGCAACCTGAATCGTGGAATCGATGTGACGTGGTGCAATATATGCGGCCCAATCTACGTGGTGCATTCTATGCGGTGCGAGTGATTTGAACAAACGAGCTGACACATCCCACGCTTTTGTAAACATCCCACCCACCCACCCGCAACTTGGTTCGCTAAACCCATGCGGCGGCGATTGCGATGCATGCTTGGCGTTGGCTGGGGCATCTCTGCGGCCGTGCCAAAGCACGCGCGCGCAGCGGGCAGCTAGTTTGGCGTG